TTTTTTATTTGCAATTAGAACCCAAAAAAGCCTTCTTCAGCAAATAAGCACACGAATCGTAGAAAATCACACGTTTGCATCATTGGCTGCAGCGAAATGTGGTCCAATCTGGTCTAGTGGGATATCTGCAACAGAGAACAAAAGATCGTTCATACCAGTACAATAAAATCTACCAGATGGTCAGAAAAAAGTGCCATAAAACACACCCATTAGTTCACAAAAAGGCTCCGGAGCGGATAAGGGTGCAATTTCTTCGTCGAACTTCTTCACGAAAGTTGACGTCTTATGCAGGGTTTCGAGGATGTGGCTTTGGAGCCATTCTAACCGGTCTTCAGAGTCAATCTGTAATAGTAAACAGTTTACTTATAACGATTATAACAGAAGAGAACGAATGATGCTTCGAGTCACAACCGCTTCCGACTTCCGTCTACTCGATTAGTGTGTGCGCTTCCCGAAAAATTGACTTTACCCGTGGTTTCACAAAGATTTGAGCACTTCATGTGAATCGAAACAGTAAAGAGTACAGCTTTGGATATGATAGAGCGAAATGGGGCAGATAAGGCCATTTGAAGGTGGAACTGGATTTGGAAAAAACGCTGACCGGTATGACGTCACGGAAATATCGGTCCACAAAAGCCCAAGTTAAACAGACAGGTCGAAGCGAATCCCATGTATTGGCGTGACCTTCGGTTGTGTAGTCGGCTAGAGCAGCTCGTAATACCTAGAACAACTGGTTGAGATTCGGCTACTCACGTGGAAACCGTTCTGACTAAAAAATCTCGCTACGTACCCTCAGTCTCCACCTATGATTTACCGTAAACACGGAAAACTTACATCAACTCGTTGCTCGAGCCAACTTTGCAGGGTAAGCTCAGTCATCAGGAACGACACAACACGATGTCGAGCGTTACGAGTGGGTAACTCGTCTGGTGGAAGGCAGAGAGCTAACAGGTGTAGAACGGCCAAGTACTGCGCATTCGACTCTCGCCCTCCTCCTTGGGATGCTTCCGAGAATGATCTGGATGGATGAATTGAAATTAGCCCAATTATTTGGTGAACTTGGCCCTAATCAGAAGGAAACCTCAGAAGAAACGTCAAGTAAGCCAAAATTACCTGAAGTACACGAATTTATCGATCAGCTCACAAATGTCGACAAAGACAATTGCACGACACAGTGGAGGAACGGGAGCAGCCACTTCCAGATCAGCTTGGTACCTTAATGGACCTTACTTTAAAAAATTGTCGCTACGAGAAAGAGAAACGTTTACCTGTTAATGGCAAGGGCCCAATCAGCTTCGCTTGCCGTTCCAATAGCTATTGGAGTTAGAGCGTTGCACTTGGCACCGGCATTATGCAGAGAGGCCTAAAAGGGATAGATACATCAAAATCAAAGACCACTTTCAATTTAGGTATAGGATTCTGGCGATTCCAATCTGAGCGATGCCCTATGGAAAGTATCTCAAGAAGCAGGACTGAACAACTTACTTTAGACCATTCATCAACATTCCGTCCACCTCCACTTCTACGAATTGCATTCTGATGACAATCAATATGGACCATGACCATTTGGCTTACAGTCACCAATTGGGGTACCCGAGCATCATTGGTTAGAGGAGAAGCAAAAGCATATCTGCAAACATGTGGCAGTGGCAACAAAATTACGAGCATATCAGCATAGTTGGAGAGGGGAAATCTGG